AGTTTATTACAATAATGGTCGTTGAAGTTGTTTATATAAATATGAAAAAAATATATATATATTCTTATATTTTTTGTGCCAAATTTTATAAAACATTATTTAATAAAACATCGTCAATTTCTTAGGAAAAATATTTATGACACGTTTTTAATTGATTTAATTGAAAAAATCGAAATTTATTTCCATTCATTTATATATCAAATTCTTTGATTCTTAATTACGATGTTTAGGAATAACTTTGCGACCAAAATTGTTGGTTTTTATCAAATATATACGTTAATTTGTATCATTTTTATTTTCACTTTTTATACAATAATACATAAAAGTTGATTTAGATTTGTTAATTATTTATAACAAAGTCATAAATATATTAAAAAATCACTTTGTAGTTTAAAAAAATCAGTTTATTTAGAGTTTAGTTTATTTTAGTAGTCTGCAGATGTTAAAAAAACAAACAGTCTTCTTTTTTCAGACTGCAGACGTTTGGCTCACCTCTTCTGCTGCAGAGGTCTACAGATGTGGTCCGCAGACTGCAGATATTTTGTCTCAGAAAAAACAAACAACACCTAAATTAAAACAAAGTACTTTACAAGTTGTTCATACAAAACAAAACAAAACACATTACAGGTTAAACATAAAAACCAAAACAAAGTACATTACAAGTTGTTCATAATTTAACCCAAATGACCTTCATTACAACTTGTACATGATTAAACACAAAAAAAAAATACCCAACTACATATTAGGTACACCTTCAACTTAAAGACCTCAGATTGAAGCTTTTTGTTCGACCTAAACAACCCAGTTATGATCACACCTTCATTGTTGCACTGCATTTCATCAACCCAAGCTATAAAACCTGAACGGGCATCATGATTCCAACTATTTGCTTGAATTAGTACATGTTCAAAAAAAGTAGGATTAGCATCAGAAACTGAACAAATGGTAAATTACCTTTTGGGGACATGTATAAAAGGGCCTTCCTGGGTTAATGGTAGTATGTGATGTTTGTGACAACCCGAAATTTCTATCTTGTAAAGTCAATCAATGCAATCAAAAGTCAGACTTGTTTCCGTTATCTTTTTGCCTTGTTAAGGGTCTATTTGAGAAAACGTTCGGGGGTGGATGACGTCATGCGTAGTATCACAACAATTGCATCATAGTAATCAGAGTAAACACAACCATTACATTGTTTTAGCAAAACATTTACATCTGTTTGTTTCATACTTATGTACATCAAAAGTATAACAAAAGTAAAAGACGTGGCTCTATACACTCTGTCTTCTCAAAAACTCCAGGAGGTACCTGTCTACTGATTTCCTGAGAATACAAGCAGTTTTGGAAGAGTATCAGCATAAAGCTGGTGAGTTCATAAGCATGTTTTTGAGAAGAAAATCCGGTTAATGAATCAAGAAATGTATTTGTATGCTTCCAAGAAAATCCATTATTTTCTAACATGTGTATTTCGTTACTGAATCTCATTGAATGTGTTGTGCATTGTTTGATCGAATAAGAAAACTCTTTTTATAAGGAGCAACCCTGGTTCACCCTATAATGTATAGTAAGTTCGGAAAACTCTGAAACTGTAATATGTATAGTAGTTCTATTACTTTATAATAAAACTAGTAAAGTTATTACCATTCATACGTTAATCGTATTTTCTTAGTACCAAATTTATGTTGTTATAACCATACTTGACCGTTGAATTGCCTGAACGACATTCTCCAGGTGTCGGAATCGAAATGACTTTGTCACCCAGGCCTGCCGGCCTAACTGTAACTAACAGTTATGGTGTGGGGTTGTCAATCTCGTATAGATCTATACACAAACTCACGTTCTCCCGCGAGGAGACTCTGGTTATAATCTCAGGACTTTGGTTAGTACTTAGTAAGTACGTGAAGAATGCTCACTCATAAAATGTTATACTAACGATTACATGTAGAATAAAATGAATTCATGAATATAACAGGCTGAATATATGTCTCATAAACCGTACTCTATATGGTTTACATGTTTGATCACATTGAATCTATGTTTTTGCATTGATAAGTTGGTTGTTCCATAAACTATACCTGTTATAGCTTATAAATTTGATACTGTATTCATATTAAACATTGAAATCCTCTATGATTTGTATTGAAAACCTCCCTTATGCTCAGCAATATACAAAAGGGATGAAAACTCTGAATATTTGATAAAAGTATGAAGACTTTGTGGTTGAGTCTTTTCTATACATCAATGACAGTCAAACAACAGTACTAGTAAACTATAATAGGTATAGTTTAGAGAATTACTACTTACTATAACTAGAACAAGAAGGAACATACTATAACAAGAACAGAAAGAACATACTATAACAAGAACAGAAGGAACATACTACACACTAGAGCAGAAGGAACATACTATACACTAGAACAGGTTGGAACATACATACTAATACAAGAACAAGATAACATTAATGTGAGCCACTACCTCATGACATGGCAATATACTGATGTGTCACGTTTTGTAACCAGAGTCTCCTGGAGGGAGAGCGTGAGTTTGTGTATAGATCTATACGGGATTGACCATCCTACATCTTGTTGCTAGCTACAGTGGGACCTGTAGGTCTACGGGTGACAAATGTCATACCATTTCGATGTCTTTGGAACGTCGTGCTTTATACTAGTCAATCAAGCATGGTTATAACCTCATCACATTTTACCTTAATTAAACAAGTTGGTTTTAAGGTAGTTAGTACATCTGTAGTTACTATATACAATACTACTGTACATCCTCATTTTTCCCATTACATTCATATAGTGATCTTCTCACATAAAAGGTAATGTAAACTATTTTCTGGTAATAATAGTCTTATACTTGGGAAAACACTCACTTTCACAAAAGAACAAACATACAGAACAATCGAGTCTTGGTAGAAGACTACTCTCCATTATAGTAGAAAATATAGGATTTTCTAGGAAGTATACAAACATTCACATCAAACACTTACAAACTTTACATCAAACACTTACAAACATTTTTCATCAAACTTATACAAACATTTGACACTAAAATACTTATGAACTCACCAGCTTAAATGCTGATCTACTCTTTCAAAATAACTTGTATTCTCAGGTCACCAGTAGATAGGTACACTGGACCAAGTTTTGAGAAGACGGAGCACATTCAAGACTCGTCTTTTATTTTGATATTTCTATTTTTGGTGTCTTAAAAATACATTCAGAACACACTTGTATTAACTATACTATTAATGCAATGGATGATGTTGTTGCTTGTTTTACTATTGTGCATTGTTATGATACTGAGCATGACGTCCTCCGCCCCCGAATGTTTCCGTCATTCTGGTTTGGGGGCGTGACAGATTGGTATCAGAGCTTTGTTTATAGTGAATTGAGTATATCAACCCATAAAAGATATACAACTATAAACACAACGGGATTAAAATACTCTGACCAAGACTTTATACTCTTTAAATAATAAAATATTTAACTAAAGTATACATACATGCATTCATACTAGGATCAGTGTCATACTAGAACAAAATAAAAGTATTGCGATTGTTGGACAGCACAAGTAGGCTTGGGGACATATGATCAGATCTGGGAGTGATATAGCCTGATCAACTATATCTTTCCGATAAGTGATTAGCATGTGCCTATGAATGGTTGTGGTGTTGCAACAAGTCTAAAAACTTACCAACTCTACTACAATGAAAACTTTAGAACATAACATAAACTTAAAATACTATAGGAGTATTTTGTGATGCTATAATTACTTATTTGATAACTAAAAGGTCTTTATTAGTAGGTCAATAGTTGCTGAGTGGATACGCTAAGGTTACATGTGACTAAGGTGTCATAGACTTAGAATCTGTGGTCTTTACTTTACTTCATGTTCCTTGTTTGGTTGTGGACTTAGGGTTAGGGTCACTTATTCGAAGGTCTATTCTGTTTTGGGTTACATATGACTGGTATGCACTACGCAAGTATTGAAGTAACTAGTAAGGATCATCCTATAATTATCTTAAGTAGTACGTCTATTATATGTTTCTTATGTCCGAGTTGCTCCTTCAACCGTTGCATTTCACATTGGTTTTCTGAAATCTTCTGACCACAATCACAGAAAATTGAGTGGAGCACATTATAGTTGATGTCTTCACTAGAATTTAAAGAGTCGGGTGAAGGTGGTGGAGCCGACATTGTTGCTTTTTAAGGGTTCTTCGAGATGATTGTTTGCTCGAGTACGGTAAACAAGTTTGAGGGTTGTTTTACTTCAAACCCCACATGGGTGTGTCCCCTTTTAATTCGAGATTTGTGCCTGAGACTCAATCGAATCGACAATGTAAGGTTGGTGGGGTGTTGGTGGAAACTAAAGGCAGTAATTACTATTTGCATGTGTGTTATCGAGTCAACTCAATATTGACTCAACGGGTTCACTCACCTGCTTACTTGGCAAGTAATGAGGCAGGTTAACCTGCTAAAATGGGTAACATGACTTTTCCATTCGGTAAAACACAAGTATATGCCCTTAATATGCAAAAAATAGTCACCATGAACCATTTAAACAATTATACACAACTTTGTTTTATCCTAAACCCTAAAACATATCACCGAATCAAAACGACCGAGCTGCACCGTGAGCCCAAATTTATCTGCTTCAAAACTTATTTAATTTTATTTTTTTACATCAAAATGTAAGACAAATAAACAAACTTGTACCAAGATTGTTAAGCCTTGTTCATTTTGACCCAAAATGAATCAATTTCATTAAAATAATTTTGTTTCTCTAATATTTAATTATATATTACTTGGTCAAAGGGTTTTCTTTTCCACGCATACAAAAATAGAGAAGGGGTTGACTCTACAGTCCTTATATTATTTTTGCTCATAGCCTTTCAAACACCGCCTCCTTCCTTCTTCACCATCAACTCTCTACAGTGAATTCGTTCCCATCCTACGATAGTTAGGAGTTCTATTGCATCATCACAGTCTCGATTAATGGACGAGGGCATCAAAGAGAAGTTCTTTTCGGATTTGAAATGCCTCTTTAATCAGAAACTGGAGGTTGATAGTCTTATTCAGGGTTTCGAAAATGTAGGGCTCAAAGGGAAACAAATCGATACTTCTTCAGAAGAGGTGAAGGATTTGAGCTCTGATGGTGATTTTAGTATCGGCAATCGTGACATGCATTATCCGATCCGACCCGATGCCGAAAACTGCTCGTTTTTCATTCGAACCGGGACATGCAGGTTCGGGCGGATGTGCAGGTTCAATCACCCTGTTTCGACGAAAATCTATGTATGCACTCTCGCTTCCTCCCCTTTCCCCTTCATTCTGAGATAATGTTCTAAATTCTTACACGGAATTTGATAGCTCATGCTTTCCTGGTCTATATTTCGAAAGGGCTTTTGTTATATTCAAGTCTTTTGTTATTGCGAGTTGATTTTTGTTTGCTTTGTTTATGTGTTGTTCGTGTGAAGGTTGATCGGGGAAAAAGCAACATAATTGGTGCTGGAAGTTCATCTAAAAGTTTGAGTCGGATTCCATGCAAGGTACATTTGTGATCTGTTTACATACTCTCTTTCATAAATTCGTCCATTCATGTTTGTTTTCTCAATGAGTTAAATGAGGTGAATTTGGTTATACACTCTCAAAAAATAAGGGATGTGGCCAATTAAGGGTAAATACAGGAAAATATAGAGCAACAAGTTTTACTAATAAATAAAGGCTGGCATGTTTAGATTGCTTATGAATCCATTTTATTAGGTTACAGTATGATCTATCTAGCAGCAGATAGGAAAAAAAGAAGAAAAGTGTTGGTAGGATAGTGTACATATCAATCCACTGTATGTCTTGGGCAGCAAGAGACATGTGAGTCTCATGACCCAATAGGAATTCTCCATGTCAGTGTTTATGCCTCCACATCCCATCAGTAGGGCTAGTTTGGGAACTGCAGAGTAATTTAATGTGCCTAATGGACCTACAAACTTGTATTGCTAGTATCTGCTTCTTGCTTTATTGATATTATCTTCTTTCACTGTTGTGTATCCATACTGTATTTACATGCTTATCCAACTGTGTTGCAGTTTTACCAAACTGGTCATTGCAAATATGGAGAATTTTGCAGATTCAATCACTCCAAATCTGAGCCTGAAAACTCTCTCCCGCGACTTAACGTGCTTGGTTTTCCAGAAAGATTGGTAATTACTAATTTATCCTTGTATAGCTTTTCATATAGATGAATTGGTTGAATAATGATATTATCTTGTTGACCAGGGTTATGAAAACTGTTCATTCTACATGCGTACTGGTGTCTGTGGTTATGGTGCATCCTGTAAATTTCACCACCCTCCACCTATCTTCTTTACTGTTGAATCCATGGATAGCCAGAATGAAGCTTCAGAAATCAATGATGCTGATGCAGGACATGTAGTTCCTCATTTCTCACAATCAACTAATTCACATGTGCGTGTGCTAAAATTCGGCAGTTTCCCAAGTGCAATCAGTGGGACTCTGGTATGTCCATATAACCAATATCTTAGTATTGATTACAATTTCCAAAAAGAAGCTATGATATTATGTAAGTAAATTCATATTGTCTATCTGTTTGTGAATACAGGAAAAGAATCGGCACCCATTGACAGATGGATCCACCTCAGAGTCTCCTTCTGGTGGCAAGACCAAGTAGAATGGGCAAATTACATTTACAGGGATGGTTTCTTAACTCTAAACTAATAATCTCTTAGAATATCTCTCAAGTTTATAACTTAATATGTCATATTTGAAAAAGAATGCAGTCTTTTTCAGCAACTAGAAACTTTTCTTTCATCTTTCTTCTTTGATACCATGATGCATATGGTTGACTTTACACCTTACTTGTTCTGAGTCATGTTTGACCAAACCAATTCAGGGGTTGACTCTGTATGGTATGTTGGATCTTTTTCAAAGGTGCATGGTTTTGGTTTCTTCCAATATATTTGAATTTTGAACTGATGGAGTGTGTGCTACAGTTTTACAAGTACACATGCCGCAAATTACCATTAAACATACAACTGGTGTTAAGTCTCACTGATATTTTAAGTGCATGTTTAGACAGACAACATCAACTTTAAGCACTTCATCCTTTAACTTTGTTGCTATGATATTCTTAGGTAGTTAGTGTCCATTGCAATTTGCAATTTGCAATGAAAAAAGTTGTTTGTTTTTGGAATGGACCATCACTAAACCAATCTGATTCCTTCAATTTTGTTGATTTTCATTCCTTAGGCAGAAGGGGATGTTTTTCTATCATTCATTCCATCACGGAAAATTGTAATATAACCCATTTTAGTTATAAAGTTTTTAATAACACAATATTATTTTATAAAATTAAGGGGCTGTTTGATAACCTCTGAATCGGTCAGCATTTATAGTGCCGTTTGATACAACCTCTTAATGGCGGCATCTGAACGGTTTCTCTGAACCATTAAGAGGTTGGAATCCATTTACCACTAAATGATTTTTTTGTTACATTCTTATTTGGGTTTTAATGACCTTTTATGAACTTTAGCTTTATAGTATCGTAAATAATAAATCCTATAATTATAACTAAATATATAGAATGTGTCCATGTGTAGATTTATTCCCTTCCTACGGATGGATGAAATATGATCATTCGATTGCCTTTTTCTTATTCCATTCATTTGGCCATTCCATCCCATCAAACAAAACCCTTACATTACAATTGAAAACACTAAAATGTATCTATATAATCCATAGTGGTTCATAAAATAACAAGTGCTTTTCTTTTAATTCCTTCCGATCATGAATTTTATAAAATAAATGTACAAAATAGCATCTCCCCGGCAAGTATATTTTTCAATTAAGTTTTATAATCTTGGTAGAGGCGGAAATTTGTCCAATTTATATAAATAGTTAGTATGTTAAATAAGATAAAAGAAACTATATTGTTACAATAATAACTATTATTTTTAATAAAGCAATCTAGGAGATTGTATGCATTATGGAAAACACTTTCGACCCGTTTCCTTTTAGCCGATTTTTTTTATTCAACCTATTAGACCCGTTATAGATATAAAACATAACCTAAATAACATATTCATAAGTAAATAGATTGATATTTTCACTTTTAAATCTTGGTTTAACGAGATATTCATTAACCAATTTAATATAAGTATAACATGTCCGAATAAGCTTGTGGTTCGTTTCAAGTAAAATTCCACTTACCATAAGAGGCTAATGCCATTAGTTTGCTCTTGTTTATGCATCTTTTTTGTCTACAATTACATGAATAGTTTGTGCCATAATCAACTCTTATTAGGGGGGTTATTATGCAGCTTACAGATCTGCATTCCACTTTGGGAGTGAAATGAACCAAATACTAGTAACTAACTGCTCATGGAATTTTATTTTGTTGACTTGGCACATGGTTTAATAAAAATATTTGACTATCGATTGATTTCGGAAACAGCCTTTAATACACACAAAGTAAAGAAAACGTGTTGAACACGATCAAAGTTGTTAATTTCAATTAATGATTAATAATAAGGTGCACATAAGTAAAATAGGTTTAACAAGTTACCAAAAAAGGATATGTTGCCCTAAATGAAATGTGTTGCAGTTTCTTGCGATAGTGGGAGTGGAGAATATTTGAAATGAATATCCTAACACGTTATTGTACTTTTATAAATTTGACATTCCCTTTTTTTTGCCCTATATTCATTGTAGACATTGTTAATATAGTACTAAAAATTTAAAGGAATTTGAATCCCATCTTTACTTTCAGTTTTATTGCTAATATATGTTTGTTTTTTTTTACACTACTGTAGTATGCTGACATATCAGATGTAGGAGATCATCTGGTGCAGGCTTGCGTTTTTCCTATGCGAGAGGTCTTCAATGGAAGCAATCCATCTACCCTTGTGTAACAAACAGGTAGACACATGATTGATTTTGGAAGATAATAATTTGCAGGATTTTTAAGGAAATCCATCTAAGAGTTTGGGTGTGTATCAAGGTAAACTCCATGTTTCAGCTTTGTTTTTCAAAGTTAGGGTTTGGGTGATTGTTGATATAATATAATGATATAGGATGTTAGATATTGTTGCCATTTATGTTGCTTAGTTATGAATGAATATTTTCCACTGTTGGGTGGGTGTGTTTGACAAATTAGAGTTTCAACAATGAGCTTAAAATGGTGATTTGGGCTTTGATTAGTGGTTTATATTTTTTTTGGTAGAGAATATATTTTTCTGCTTATTTGTAATATGTGGCTTTTTGATGATTTTCATAGGTGTTGGGAATTAAGGTTAAAGAGGCAGTGAAAATTGAATATACCTCAAAATGAGATTTACATAATGGTACATGGCTTTAGTATTTTATTGTGGATCTTTGTAGGTGGATTAAAGTGTTTTTATTATTTTTAACATAAGGTTTCAGGGTTCAGGGGCACAAGTTGATTTATGAACTTTCAGTTGGTATTATTTATTTACTATTATTATTTTTTTATGTTTCCAAACATTTGAAGTAATATGTTCTTGGCATGGTTTAACAAGAAGTATTATTGATTTGTTTTTGAATGATGTTTAAGAAAACATTGTATTCAACCTACATGAGTTGCTTTATTTAAACACAATGGTTCATTGTTGTGAAAAGAGTTGCATGCATTATATTTACATGCATTCACTATGTTAGGTTAAAAGAGGATGGTTGCATTATTTAGATCTTGGCATGTTAGGTATCTACAAGTAGAATCATGGCAATTACAGTATCAAGTATGCATATAACAGAAAATTTCTCATTCTTATTGCAGTTTCATCCAACAGATGGTTGTTGCAGGAATGAGAACCACTGGATTGCTATATAACATTTTATACTTTCTTGTATCATCTCATAGTGTTTTGTATCCTTTCATTCAGTTTTATGTCGTTTTATATCAAAAGGTTTATTGTTATTTCGGATGGAGTTGTACCATTTCGCCCTTTTTGCTATCATTTCATATCATATAACATGTCAAGCTAAAAAGGTTTGTGTAAAGACAAGGTATTAATATAAAGGACTATTAGATTGAAATTTATGAATTTAATTATGAACTACATTTTTGCTAGTTTATAGCATTTACTTGCTAGACCTTCATCTTTTAAAATATATAGTGTAATATAATGCAAGTATAAGCATTGCATGTGTAGGGAGTTGAATTATAGCCAATGAGTTTTTAGGATGCCAAAAGCTCGTTTCATGTCCTTTCTTGTTAATTCTTGTGTTGCCATGAACTTTTTTCGTTTTTCCTTGTTTGGATAGGTAAATATTTCCCCAAAAGTATCTCATTGGAAAGATAATGCTTATGCTTGTAGTGTACTCTGTTAACCCTCCTGAAATGGACACATGCTTATGTGTGTAGTGTACTCTGTTAACCTGATAAGCTTTGAATAAGGATAACTCATAGAGGCACGTAAACTCAAGAATTCATATGATTGATGATAGTTCTCTCACAATTATAGAGGTGATAGTCTCTTCAAAGTTCATAAGAACAATTACAAAATTCTCGATAAACAACCCTACACCCCAAACAAGCTTAAATACTCTCCTAAGGGAATAAACCTCAAAATAGGGACCATTGGGACCACAACGCAGCTGAAGAATCCCCACGATTACAGCAGTACAATAAAATTAGTGCTAAAGTCATAACCATCTGAAGGAATAACAGAAACAGAAGGATAAAGCAAAAAGGGTAAAATAGACAATTCACCACACTTCATAGCTGCTTTATTATTTATTGACCTTTCTACCCCTCCCGCTTTAAACTAGAAGTTCTCGAGGCTTATCAATACCATCATCCCAAACTTTGACCTTGTCCTCAAGGTCAAAACTAGGAAATTGTTGTCTAATTTTTTCCCCATCTTCTCAGGTGGCTTCGGCTGTGGTCAAACCCTTCCACTTAAGGAACCCCTCTTTCTGATCCTTCCTCCCATTTTTCTTTATTCTTACTCCACAAAGTTCTTCTGGTTGCACTATCAACTCAAAATCACTATTTAACTGTGGTGGTATGATGTTAGTTGGTGTTGGTGTACCTGTGGCTAACTTCAATTGAGAAATGTGAAAAACTGGATGGATAGTGGCTGTTTCTGGTAGCTCCAACTCGTAGGCTACCTTTCCGACTCATTGAAGCACACGATATGGTCCGTAAAACCTTGCAGCTAGTTTCTCATACTTCCGCTTAGCCAGGTTCTGCTGTCGATAAGGCTTGAGTTTTAGATACACCAGATCATCAATTTCTAATTCTACTTTTTTTTTATTAGCTTGATCCGCCATCTTCTGTTGAGCACGAATTAGATTCATTCTCAATTCATCTAGAATTGCATCTCTATCTTCCAGCAGAAGGTCAATGGAATCAACAGGGTCTGTTGTCCTTCATAGCGAATGAGGGGTGGTGGGTCCCTTCCATACAATGCCTTAAAAGGGGTACATTTGGTGGCCGAATGGAAAGATGTATTGTACCAATATTCAGCCCAAGCAAGCCATTTGGCCCATTTGTTTGGTTTTTCTGAACAAAAGCATCTTAAGTAAGTTTCTAGGCATCGGTTAACTACCTCAGACTGCCCATCAGTTTGGGGGTGGTAGGAGGTACTGTGCTTGAGATGGACCCCATGAAGACGGAATAACTCTTGCCAGAAATGACTTGTAAAAACCCGATCTCTGTCACTGATAATGGAAGATGGGAGCCCATGCAACTTCACTATTTCCTTCATAAAACAGTTGGCCACCGTTGTTGCTGTAAAGGGATGTCGAAGGGGAATAAAATGAGCATACTTGCTCAAACGGTCCACAACCACCCAAATTGTATCCCATCCTTCCGATTTGGGCAAACCTTCTATGAAATCCATGGTTATTTCTTCCCAAGTTAGAAGAGGAAGGGCGATCGGCTGCAACAGACATGCTGGGGCGGTTGTAAGATTTTTATGTTTTTGACAAACCTCACACATTTTGATGTATTCAGCAATGTTATTCCTCATTCCCACCCAGAAAATTTCAGAAACTGCTCTTTGATAAGTCTTCTTTTCCCCTGAGTGACCTCCAGCCGGTGTATCGTGGAATTGTGCTATGATGTTAGGAATCAAAGGAGAATTTGCAGGAATCACTAACCCTCCTTTGTATAGAAGATTATCACTAAAAACTACAAAACCCTTGTGTGAATTCGCATCCAACTCTAAATCCTTCTTGACATGGCTAATAAACTCATCTCGTGTAAGCTCTTCTTTGAGTTTGTCCCAAAATTCCCAGTGCCCTGCACTCATGTTGTCACACGTGACCTCAGGGTGCTTTCGAGATAAAGCATCATCGACCTGATTACTCGCACCCGGTTTGTAATGTATATCGAAGTCAAAACCCATCAATTTCGAGACCCACTTTTGATAATCGCTTCCCACCATTCTTTGTTCCAGTATATACTTCAAATTGGACTGATCTGTGCGAACAATGAATTTCCTCCCAAGAAGATAGGGCCTCCATTTGAGAACTGCCATCACTATTGTTAAGATTTATGGAGTCATGAACAAATTGACAAGTTCCTAAGAGTTCAAGGGCCTATATTGAAACTTTACAATTACTCACGTGTGAAGAAATAATTGTCAAATAATTGTCGGCAGAAGGAATTTTCAACATTGATTTGTTTAATATTTGTTGGACGGTGGAATTGTTTAATATTTCTTTGTTGGACGCACTAAAGAAACTTTCGGTAAACTATTGAACGGTGCAAAGGAATTAGGTGAACGTCACTATCTCTAATGTGAATTGGAAGAAAAGGATTACGGCTATTGTTAATATAAATAGATCTCTTCTTCTTTCAATTGAAGATGTAGAGCGCAACACACAACTCAAGTTCTTATATATACACAGAAAGAAATTAGTGAGGTATTATTTTTGTGCAGAGCCTTAATTTTTGGCAGCCAAAAAATTACGAGTGATATCTTACCGTGAGTGATCAGATTACAAGGGCAGTTTTTAGCCTTGTATGATTGTAATTTTCTTTGGTGTTAATAAAATCCCCTCTCTCTCTCGTTCGCCCGTGGATGTAGGTCAGATTAGACCGAACCACGTTAAATATCGTCTTCAATTTCGTTTGCAATTTTTTCAGTAATTTCCGCGAGTTTTGCCGAAATCGTTATATCAATTTTTTCGGAAGTGCTTAACTTGTTTTGTTGCATTCCCAACAAACTGGTATCAGAGCTATGGTTGAAGATGGGAAAGTTAAGATCGAAAAATTTGATGGTCAAGATTTCGGTTTCTGGAAAATGCAAATTGAAGATTATCTCTACCAGAAGAAGTTACACCAACCTTTGTCTAAAGACAAACCCGAAGAGATGACGCAGGAGGAATGGGACTTATTAGATCGGCAGGCACTCGGAGTGATAAGGTTATCATTGGCAAAGAATGTAGCTTACAATATTGTCAATGTGAAGACAACCTACAGTCTGATAAATGCGCTGTCTAATATGTACGAAAAACCTTCAGCGGCAAATAAGGTTTTCTTGATCCGGCAACTTGTAAATCTAAAGATGAAGGAGGGTAGCTCGGTGACAGACCACGTGAACGAATTCAACTCAATAATATCAAGATTGATATCTGTTGATATTGGATTTGAAGATGAGGTCATGACGTTGCTACTATTATCATCGTTACCCGATAGTTGGTCCGGCACAGTAACGGCCGTTAGCAGTTCAGCCGGAGGTGCCAAGCTATCATTCGAAGGTATTCGCGATTTAATCCTTGGTGAGGATGTGCGCAGAAGAAGTGCCGGAGAAGCTTCCAGTAGTCTTCTAAGTACTGAAGACAGAGGAAGAAAGACCAACAGAGGAAGTGGTGGTAGAGGAAGATCGAAGTCAAGAAAGAGAGGTCAGTCGAAGAACAGGAAAGATATTACCTGTTGGAACTGTAATGAGAAAGGTCATTTCAGAAATCAGTGCCCAAAGCCTTCGGCAGACAAAGTCAAGAAGGAAGTAAATATGGCAGCAGATTCTGAAGATGATGCACTCATTTGTTGTGTTGAAAACTCAACTGAATCCTGGATCATGGATTCTGGTGCGTCGTTTCATGCTAGTCATTCCAGAGAAGTAATGCATAATTTTAAGCAGTACAAAGGAAAAGTCAGATTAACAGATAACAAGAGCCTGGATATTACTGGAGTTGGGGATGTGGTCCTCAAGACAACTTTGGGTACGAAGTGGACTTTGAAGAATGTCAAGTTCATTCCAGACTTGAAGAGGATGTTAATATCTGTGGGGCAGCTTGATGATGAAGGTCACCATGTTACATTTGGTGATCATCAGTGGAAAGTGACAAAGGGAAACT